CAAGCGAGTCTCTTGCCTCCGCCTCCCAAGTAGCTGGGACCACAGGCGCCCGCCACAACGCCCGGCCATTTTTTGGTTCAGCCATCATTGTTGTTTGGCGGGTCCGGGCTGGGGATTCGAACCTGCCACCCTAGGTGTACGTGGCTGGCGCCTTAGCCGGTTGAGCTATAGGCGCTGAGCCCCAATATTTCTTTAAAAAAACAAAATGAAGTAGAAACTGGTGAATCTACCATTGTGAGCTCTGAGTTTGGAAGAAAAAAACTATTTACAAGGAGAGCTGGATTAGTCTGGATTCTCCCAACTTCTCTCAAAGATTTTTATAGTCTTTGATGGGGAAAAGGAAACTCATTTTGCCTCCATAGGAGTTATTACTACCCCGCTATTAGTGTAGGCTGTTAGTAAAACTTCCCTCTGGGAAGTTCTGAACTGATATGCCAGGGCTATCCTTTAAGATCCTGTTGGCTCTTCTAAAACTTTAAAATGTGAACTGGAGGCATCCATGGGCTTGTTATTGCTTGTGATGTGAAACTGATGACACTGGTAAATCCTATCCTTCTGTAGTTCCTCCCCCACATATGTGTATTTTCCTACCCTCCTATCACTCCAGAATGTCATAAAACAGGCTAAAATCTAGTTATATGTACAACTAATTTTTCTAGAAATCTAATTTTATTTTTGTGTTACAACCTTGTTTTATTTTTAGAAGAAGTATCTAACGAGGGTGTATTTTTAAAAATTATTATTTTAACCTGTGTATGTGTAGTAGTCTCAAATCTGAGAGACTTTATTGCTACATTTTAGGTGTCTAAACTTCTGAATTCTGGAGTATATTTAATACATAAAGAACTAATAACATTATTACAAGACGAATCACTGGAGGTAATAATCTTCTTACTCTTTGGCTTTTACTTCTTTTCTGTTAAATCCAAATATATTAGGTCATTAAATATGAAATGTCTGATTTTGAATCAAAAGCTTGGTTTATTATATTCTCAAACAAGAAGCAGTACAATTAATCAAAGCATATCAACACAGTTTTGCCATCTTCATAGTATCTTGTGTATACCAGCAGTGAAGAAGCCTGGAGAGTGCGTGGTGATGAAATTTAGAAAGCTATTTTCCACAGCTTGTTGGGAATGGAATGTTTTGCCTTGCAAGAAGTGGTCCAGACCCCAGAAAGAATGGTCAGTTGGTGTAAGTTCTCCTATATACAATGGATGACAGAAAGTTTCCAAGTCCAGCTTCTGTAGTTTGAGCATCATTGTTTGTGTGACAGTGTTGTCTTGCAAGAGCGTTGCCCTGTGTCTGTTGACCAATTTTGGCTGCTTATTCTTAAGCATCCTCATTGTGTTGTCCATTGGTTGCAGCAGACATTCGCTGTCCTCAGTTGACCGGGTTTCAGGAAGCTGTAGTGGATAATACCAGACCACCAAACAGACACCGTTAGCATTTCTTGATGACTGTTTGGTCTTGGACTGTGTTTTAGCACTGCATCTTTATCCACCCATTGTGCTGAATGCTTGCGATTATAAAAAAGAATACATTTTTCATCACACGTAATAATAAGGCATAGAAATAGTTCACCTTTATTTCATGACAACAAAGAAAGGCAAACTTCAAGATGATTTCTCTTCTGATGCTTATTTAATTCATGCGTAACCCATCTATCCAGCTTCTTTACATTGCTGATTTACTTTAGATGGTTTGATATTGTTGGAATAGTAATGTCAAACCTTGCTGCTAATTAATGTATAGGTTGAGATGGATTTGTTCCCACGACAGTCTTCAGCTCACCATTATCCATGTTGGTCTCAGGTTGCCCACGTGGCTCATTTTCATGTTTTAAATCACCAGAGCAGAACTTCTCAAATCGTTGCTGTACTGTGCATTCATTAGCCACATCTTTCCCAAATAGCTTGATATTTCAAGCTGTCAGTGCTCCATTGGTACTACGATGGAGCTCATATTAAAAAATAACATACATGTTTGGCTTAACCATGGTTTCACAAAAACTGCTGTTAAAAAAAATTAAAAGGTAATCCAAGCCAAAATGTGCGTTTGAAAGAATGAAGATGTTCCATCACAATAATAATAATAATAAACAAGTATCACAGTGAAATGTTAAAAATATCAACTGTCAAACTTAGTACTTAAGGAAATCAGGCATTTCTTACTTAATAACCTAATATCAATGCCTTCCCCTCCCCCCTTGCTTCTTGGGAATTGCATGAAATCGTTCATCTGACTAGTCACAGAGGCTTCAAGTCATTGTACCTCTGTATTATAGACTGGATACTGGGAAGATCTTTAAAAATGCCAGGATTTAAAATATATTCACTTTCAAAATTTAGTATATGAACATGTGTTTATTAAGGAACCTTTAGGAAGTGCTCATAAGTGGATAGACGAAAGAGTACTTTTAATTCCAATCACTGTTACTATTTTGTTACATTTAAAAATTTTTCTGTATAAATGTTACTGTATTTTTTCATATAAAGGTTTTCATTTTACATAATTATAATTAATCACATTTTATATATTTTTTCTCTTAGCATCGTTTGAGAAGTATTTTACAATCTAGTATGTACTTGTGAAGACTTTAACATACTTTTAGTTTGATACTATATTTAGTAGATCCCTTTCACCTAAATGACTGCTAGCTTGCCAAAGCTCACCTCATCAATATTTTGATATTACTGAGGGTATTATCTGATTTAAACTTCCTTTCAAAAGTTGGGAGGCAGTTTTGAGCATGTTAGTTGTGTGGAAGACAAGTAGACTAGGTGTGCTAATCTCATTCCAAAGGCAGATTGAGTAAGCAGTTGATCACGTTTCTAAGACTTTCCAACAAGAAGATGGCAGAGTAAGAGAATAGAAATTCCCAAAATGTTGTTTGGTAAAAAACACTATCAGTGGGTAGAAATTGACATGTGGAGTTAACTAATCTAGAAAAACGTAGTAATTACTATAAGATAATGAATATCTCTATTAAAAGGTACTAGATGCTCTTATAGATCATCTTCCAGAAATTTTGGAACTTATGTCTACTGGTGGAGAGAGCAGTGTTCAAGAAAATAAGGTAAATCCTATCTTTCAAAAACATTTCTGAACTTTATAAGTGTTGTCCTACTCTGCAGGGTTGTTGTGAGGAATCAATGAAAAGAATGTAGGGAAAGTATTTAAAGTAGTGCTTGTCACATAGTAGGTAACTCAGTAAAAGTCTGTTGGAGGGTGAACTGCTTGAATTTCCCCTATAATTCTTACATCAACAATTCATATATTACCATGACTCTTATTCTTTGCCTTTGGAGTTTGTATTTTCATTTTTTAATAAACATCAATGATTATTCTAAAAATAGCAAATAGTAAGGACAAAAGGTAGGAAGTTAGAAGGTTGACACTTGTTAACAAATTTATTTTAGTTAGAAGAGTTACTATGGTAGCCAGTCTGACAGGAAGAATGATTAAGTTCTAGTGTGCTTTTTAAAATTTGGTTTCCAGGAACCATAAATTTTATTTATGGAGTTTTTAAAGAAGTGATTGATTTCACCAGATAATTACCTCCTTGTAAGAAATGAGACGCCTCCTAAATTCTGAAATGAGCAGGTGTATTGTATGTGTGTATATTATAAGACTGAATAATTTTACTGAGTGCTGAGATTGATTGATTTAATTATAATGGATTCTTCTGATGTTTCTTTTTTAGTTATCCTCTCTGCCTGATTTGATTCCAGCACTCACAGCCGCTGAACAGCGAGCTGCATCCTCTTTAAAATGGAGAACTCATGAGAAGCTGCTGCAGAAATACGCCTGTCTGCCCCATGTCATATCAAGTGATCAGATATATTATCGCTTCTTGCAAAGAATGTTCACAATCATGATGACAAATGTGAGCCCTGTATCTTTCATTTTATTCTTTTGAACTCATGGCTGATTTTGGAATTACCAAATTCTTCACGTTCTCAAAATGTACCCCAAACTCAGCTCATTCAATTCTGTCTAGGAGGACATCATCTCCCCAGGTCTGGAGGAGGAAGCTCCAGCTTCCCTTTACTCGTCCACTAGTCCTTTCTCTGGGCATCTTCTCCCTTCCTGGCGAGCGGCTTAGCAGGGGTCACTTACCCTTTGCTTATATACTGCCGGGGCAGTGTAAATTAGACACACTTCAAACTTGAGATAGTTCTTTGAGAGGAAGATTGGTAAAAGTCAGTGTTCTTAACTACACAAAGGACCTTCTGCCCTGACTGGCACCTTTGAAGTATCCATAGACTCAGCGTCTTGACTTTAGCTGTGCCATTTTGCCAAGGCATCCCTTACATTTGAAATAGTCCTTGGACTTCTTAAGATTAGTTTGGTTCCCTTTTCTTTTATGATACCTGAAGAGTGGCTACAGAGCAGATGAAGTTTATACCAAAAGCATGGACGTCCTATTATGGATAACCTTACAATTGGAGTCAAATTAAGAAAAAGACTCATCTCTCAAACAAGGTGCTTAAACCTCCCCATAAAGTTAGTCCACTTCTTCACAAAAATTTCCAGAGAGGGTTATTTATGTCACAGTTTACTATACATTTAATATGGCATCCATGATCATTTTTGAAGTATACAAAAGTTCCATGTACTTGCTAAAAAAGTATGTTAAATTCTCATTGTTTGTTCTCAGTAACGAAGAGATGCTAAATTCTAGCACCCATCGCAAAAACTCAAAATCAATTTCAGCTTCAAAGATTTAAAAAAATTATATTATTGGTATTATTTACAACTTAAGTAAAAAAAAAGGTAATAGGCGTACATTTTATTAACTAACACTCCTACATGTTTATTTCACATATCAAAGGAAAGCCTAGGGACTAAAGGTTGTATTGTAGGTGTAGCAATCTTAAAAAGTGATTGTGACAACAATGGCATGCTTATCATTTTTACATTTAATAGCATGAACATATGACATTTCACATACAATTGAACAGAAATTTACTTATTAATTTTATTCAGCAGTTAGTTACTTGAGTGCCTCCTATGACATTGTTCTAAGACCTGAGGATATATGACTGAGCAAAACAGAGAGAATCCTGCTCTAATGCAGCTTGTATTCTAAAGTAGTAGTGGTGGGAGTGAGAAATTATAAAATAATAAATAAATATGTTGACAAGTGGTGATGACAGATGCTATCAAGTTTAATTTTCATTTCTGGCTTCAACCTAATTAACTCAGTCGGCCTGTTTGTGTTTAGGAAGCTGAGGATACATAAATATCCTGCATTCTTAGCTTCTCCTATCAGGAAAAAGAAATGATTTGCAATGTACAATGTGGACAAGTACTTGGAAGCCTAAGATGTTTGGGTTTTTTGTTTGTTTTCTTTTATAAGGAACTAATTCCATACTTAAAAGGAAATATATGATTGTCATAGCACATTTTCCATTTCTCATAGAGGCTACATATAAAAAAAGATTTATATTTTTAGCTCTGTACCTAATGGTCAGAATATTCATTTGTTCATTCATGTGGTTAAACTTACCGGGTGCTTACTATGTGCTAAGCTCTATTCTAGGTGCCAGGAATATAATAGTGGACAAAAGAGAACGTATATTCTATTAGGGGCATTTAACAGAATTAACAGTTATTCTTTAATATCATTTAATATCTAGATCATATTAAAATTCTATCAATTATCCTACAAATGTAGTTTACAGATGATTTAATCTTTATAGGGTCCAATTAAGATCTATACCTTACACTAAGCAAGCAAATCATATGTCAGGGATGAAAAGTGCAGTGAAGAACTATAAAACAGAGTTGGGGAGAAGAAAATCACGGAGGCTGGTAGAATGTCATTGTGAATACAGGGGTCAGGACCAAGGAAACTGTGTGTGGAGGCTTGAACAGAGGCAGTGAGCCACGAGGATATCTGAAAGTCAGCGATCCGGGCAAAGGGGATAGTGACTGCAAATGTACGATACAGCACGTGCTTGGGTGTGTGAGGAGCAAGGAGGCTGGTGTGGCAAGTGGTAGGAAGAGAGCTGAGGCTGGACAGGTGACTGGCTCCGCAGCACACAGGTCCTGGAAGGTGATAAGGCCTTGGACTATTTTCTGAGACAGGAGAAGTCTTGGGCAGGTTTTGAGTAAAGGATAAAGGAATGACATGCCAGCCTATGTTTCCTACTTTCATTACGAAAAAAATGTAAAGGTACAGAAAGGCAAAGAAAATATTATAATGATCCCCGTTATACCATATAATGAACACCATTATTCCACACATATATTTTGCAGTGGTTTTATTCTACTTAGAATCCAATTATACCTTGCTTTTGACTGTTACATCTTCTCAGTGTTTTTTAATTTAGAAGATTTCCCTGTCCTCTCGCCCCCTACTTTCTCATGATATTGAATTGTGGAAGACACTGGGTAGTTTTCCTAAAGAATATTCCAACTCTTTGTCAGATTGATTCTTCATCTGTTCTCCATGTTTCTTATAAAATGGAGGTTAGATTTGAAGGCTTGCTGAGATTAGACATTTTGTTAGATTTGAAGGCTTGCTAAGGTTAGACATTTTGGCAATAATATTTCGTGAGTGCGCTGTGTATTTTATATAACATCTTATATGGATGGTGAGGTAAGAGTGGTCATGCACATAGTGACAGCCCTGTGATCTGTGTTGTAATCTGCAGCTGATTCGTCAACCCTCTAAATATCCAGTTTGCCATCAGCCTTTCACTCATTAGTTTGAGCATCTGTTAATGATCCTTTTGTTTGAATCAGTTATTTAATTAGCACTTGCAAAAGAGTGATTTTCGAAAGCTCCTTCATTGCTTATGCATATTTGATGGTGATATTTTTTAAAGAAATACTTTCCTACATTCACATGTGTAATTTAATTACCCTGAGCTACATTTCCTAGTGTAAAAAACAGAATAAATTCTTTCCCTCTATCCATTTTTAGAGCTAGAAGTTGTTGTGGCAACTACTTTTAATGGTAACAGATGAATTTTGTTTTTGATGTTATGTATGTTTTAGACTCATTTAAAAATATTAAATAATATTTTAAATAATTGCATTTTTTGTGCTCAAATTGTTACAATCTCTTCAAACTGGGGTTTATGTGTTTTTCACCTGCTTACATTTATTCCTTAATTTCTCTCCCAAAAGAACGCTTATACTACAAAGTATAATAAGCATTATATATGAGGTAAAATATACTTATTTTCATACAATTGGCATTTGAAATTCTGTCAGTATAGATATGAAATCAAAGAGTAACATGCTTTTTAGTTGACCTTTTATCCGAAATTCATTTTTCTTAAGGTAGCTTAAGATGAGTTTGGTGGGGCCAAATTATTTAGGAAGTATGATAATACTAGTCTAGTGTAATTGTCTTCTTTATTTTTTTAAGAATGTCTTACCTGTCCAAAAGGCAGCTTCACGAACTCTGTGCATTTTTCTACGTTACAATCGTAAACAGGAACAGAGACATGAGGTCATTCAAAAATTAATTGAACGTAAGTAATCGTTGTCTCTTATTTTCAAAAAAAGAAGGTAAACTAGTTGGGCTTAGTTAGATCTAATTTATTAGGCTGATGTTGGTAAATATCTATTGTGTGCTTTTACTTTAGTTTTGTAGGCTAATTTTTGTTTTTTAGAAATATTTTTAGCAGGATTAGATGTGTGATGAATGAAAAGAATGATTACTCTGAGCTTTAGTATATGAATTTCTACACTTGAAAAATTAAATGTGAAGTGAATGTACACTTAATGTTGAAAGCCCAGGTTCTACCCTGATGAAATAGCGTTTGGAACTAAAATATAAATAGACTATCCATGAATTTAATCACTTACTTTATGGTCCTGTTTTCAATATTAACATAATTAACAGAATGTGGGTATTTTCCCTTTAATAGAGTTGATGATACATATGAATGTGAATCTGGTGAGCCAGGTAGTGTATATAGCTTAAGAAACTAAGTTAATTTATACATGCAAATTTATTTTAATTTGTCAAGAGTTAAAATCAAGGCAAAAACTTTTGGTTAAAGTGTTAATTGCCATACACACACATATATATGTACTTATATATAAATATACTTGCTAAATTTGTTAATTATTATACACTTGCTTTGTCTATAATGTCTTACTGTTTTAATTAAGCTCATATTATCCAGCATAGGCAATAATAGGATTTTCTGGTTATTGGACTTTACTATTTTAAGTATGGAGCACTTTTTGAAAAGTTAAGAGCAATTTCATAAAATTCCATGTCAGAAAAATTATGCTTGATATACTTTAGTCTTTTTGTAGTCTATCTTAATGTAATTTTCATTTTCCAGTGGAAGGGCCTCACATTTAAAATATTTTATTTCGAAAGATGATTCTATTTGGCTTTAAGTATTGGGCTTTATTTTTGAACATTTATGTAAAAAGAAGAACATTAACCTTTGGATATTCACCTAAATTATTGCCAGTAATACTGTTTACATATGACTGTTCTCTTCAATGCATTTTTAAGGAAACAAGAGGGAAACAGTTAATTTGATTATTAGAAGATTTTGAAGTTAGACTTGCATTTGAATTCTAGCTGTGTACCTGCCAGCTATGTGATTTTTAACCTCTCTGAATCTCAGTAGCCTTATCTTTTGGAGGAATAAGTGTGCATCACATTGGATTGCTTCTGGGGATTAAACAAGATAATATGTATGAAGTACTTAGTACATGGTGGGTGATCCAAAAATAGTAGATAATAGTCATTGAATAGTTAATAAATGCTTATGGAATTGAATGCAGTGTTTAATAAAACTTGCTGGGTTTTGAGGTATCATCCAATTTGGGAATCTACAAATTTGGAGCATATAATATGATTTTTTTTCCTCTTACCATATATTTGCTAATCAAACTATGGGTATAAACAAACTTGTTATAATTTTGTATAATTTTATCCTATGTAATTTCATATGGAAAAAATTAACCTTTGATAATTTTTGTTGTTGTTTCTAGAACTGGGCCAAGGCAAAAGTTATTGGAATAGACTTCGATTTTTGGATACTTGTGAATTTATTATAGACATCTTTTCCAAATCATTTTTTTGTAAATATTTCTTTCTACCTGCTATTGAACTGACACATGATCCAGTAGCAAATGTGAGGTATGTTATCAAAGAAATCATTCAAGAATATTGTATTGATTATCTATGTAATATAGTGAATATGTACAAAACATTTTTTAGGCAATTAAAAAATTGAAGATTTTACACTTGCTTTGAAGTTCTTGGTATTAATAATTGGTGAGTATCAGTAGGACTGAGAAGCATCATCTTTCAGCACTGTCTTAGATCTTTTGTTTTACTGGGTCGAGAGCAGTTAAGTTGAAGCCAGATTGACAAGCTTTTTTAGCCTTTGGATACACATGTCAGCACCAGAAGAGGGGGAAGAAGTATTATTAAGTTATCTGTCATTAAAAGTAAAGAAAAAATAGTCAGCTGTCTTGGCACTTCAGAGTTGGCTTGGTGAGCATCTGTCAATTTTTAAGGGCCCAATTCTGAGATGTAGGGCTGGTTTGAGGTTTTGGTCCTACCTTCCATGGTCAACTGCCTTTCATTTTTGAAATCCAATAAATATTAATTGGATTGGGTTCACTGTTGAGTCAGATGGAACAGGCCTGAAAATGGCTTGCTTGGAAGTTGACAAAAATATGGAATATAATTTGCTCTTTTTTTCTCCCCAAGTGGGCATATTATTTCTTTTATATATGTTTTGTGGTAAAATATACATAACATAGAAATTCACCATTTTAACCATTTTTAAATGTATAGTTCAGTGGCATTAGTACGTGTATATTATGACTTAAGAGCTATTTGTACATCCGATAATGGGATGAAGAGAATTTTAAACTCTCAGCCATTAGATTTTTGTGTCCTAAGCCCTGTGTTTCTCTTCTGAACTTGAATTCAGATGTGTAGGAAAGAGAGACACAATCAGAGTCCGTGGTCCAAAGGCTTCCCCGAAAAATACTCTAGAGCTCATTGATGAGTTTGCACATGGTAGCCACACTTAGTTTTATGTATCTAAAAGATTCATATGTGTATCTTTTATAAACAATTGACATTAATTGTAAGCAATATGCAAAACATTAGAATACTTTTTAATAGAAAGAGTTAGGGGGGCAATAAACTAGCCTAGGTTAATAATCTTGCTGTTGAGATATATACCGAGAAGAATTGTCAAAAGATATTGCAAGTTGAACCTAAGAATTCATGAGCATTAGTTCATGGGAATAATCTAGGGGTTGGCTTTTATTTTATTATTTTTAATGTGATAAGATACAGAAAGCACAACTGCTTTGGCTTTAGTTTTGTTGTGCATCTTACCTGTGCTTTATAAGTGAGAGGTAGCACATCGCTGACATTTCAAGTAAATTGAAAAGAAACTCTTGGTCATTCTCCAGATTTTAGCTCTTCTTGATCAATGAACGGATCCAGCTACATTGTTAACATTTTGTAAATTGAAGTTATGACTCTAGAAAAGCAACTTGCAATATGAGAAGTGTCACTTACCAAGCAGCTGACAAAAATAATTTGGAAGGAATGAAATTATCTCTACCCTGGCCTGCGTGACTAATAGCATGGCACTGATTCTGAGAGAAAGCAGTCTGCCAATTCAGAAACCAAATTAAGGTTAATTAAACATCACCCCACTTTACGGTTAAATATCTACTCCAAATCTCAGAGACTTTGGGGGGTATTAGATCATTGTAGAACAATCTGTCTTGGTTCTCCACTTTTCTCCTTGGGAAGCTGCCATCCAAATTGGGTCTGACAGCACTGGATGCTAACTGATATGGGGTATAAAAGCCTTTACACAACACTATAGAGCTATGCAGACACATTATGTAGATTAGGAGGACGGTTTCTGGAGCCACCCTGCCTGAGCTGAAGTTCCAGCTCTACACTAGATATATGGGGAAGTTACAAACAAAACCTGTCTGTGGATTGATTTCTTTAGTACCTATGTCATAAGGTATTCTGAGATATAAATAACTGAGATCGTGTACATAAAGAATTTAGCTTACTGGAATGATATGGCTCCTCATTTCAAAAATGTTATAATCTCATTGGCCCAGGAGTCTAATAAGAAGTGAATCACTACTGATGGCTTGTATAGCTTCTGCTGAATGTGCATTTTCTAGACCTGACTCGAGTTATAAAGAATGAAGTGTGCATCGACTATTAAGTGTTTCTGTTTTTCCTTAAGTGAATGTTTAAAATTTAAATTCACTGAGTTTAGACAATCTCAAGGCTGGGAAAAGACTATTGCTATTCAAAGAAGCCTTCTCCACAGCTGCCAGAAATGAATAAATTCTCTCTGGGGAAATTGAGACTCCTTAATTACAGAAAGCATCACCAGTCTTAGCAGTATCCCTGATGAGCTCTGAGTGAGGTTGAGGCTATTATTGTTACTTACAATGCTAAAAATTCCAGAGGAGGAACTTTATCCTTTTTTTCTTGAATAAAAAGGCAATTTTGCTGGATATGAGGAATCATCAACTAAAGCTTCATCTGAGAAAGTGTCCTGGAAAATTTAGGAGTGGGATTTAGTTGTTTCAAGGCTTACACTAGAAATAAAAAATAATAATGTGGAGAGCTCTCAGATGAATGAGTGAAGATAACATCTATGAAATAATCACCTGACATCCCTCCCTAAAACCAGGCCTGGCAAAGCATTAGAGTTTTAGTTTAGTGAAGCCAAACATTGCCTCTGAACTGCCTCCTCCTGGAAAGGTTTTCTTTTCTTTGCTGAATTCCCTCTTACCTCCCTGGCATTCTTACCTCCTTGTTTCTTGCTTTTCAACCCAATCTGGATTGTGATGGTACCTGGACTGCATGTGTCCTTTGATCTCTTTTCTTCTCTAACTGGGCTTGTTAACTCTGATTTCTCCAGTCCCATTTGTGGCTTAAATACCATCTGCATGCTGAAGAGTCCCCACTGTGTCTCCAGCATAGACTTCTTCCCTGGGCAGCAGACTCAGTGAGCCAACTGCCCACTGAGCATTTCCATGCAATATCTAACTTAATCTCCGGCATCTAAGACTTAATCAGTCTACAATTAAATCCTGATCTTTCTTGTCTGCTTTTGCTCTTCCTGTAGTCTTCTCCATCCCAGTAAATAACCATTTCGTCTTTCCACTTGCTTAGGTCAAAGCCTTGAATAAGTCCTTTTTCTCTGTCTCTTCAGCTCTGACGCCTCATCCCACTTCCTACTGCTTAACCACTTTTGTCGCTCTGATTCAATCTGCCATCACCTCTTGCCTGAATTCTTCCAAGGACCTCTCCTGTTGTTTCTCTTCTTCTAGTCTAATGCAACACAGTAGCCAGATGTTATTCATAAAACTTTTAAGTCAGATCACTTCACCTCTCTGCTCAAAACCCTCCAATGGTTTCTCACTGCACTCAGAAGAAAAGCCCGTCTCCTTCCTGGGGCCTGCGAGGCCTCTGGTCCCTGCTTTGTGGGCTCTTGCTGATCTTACCTTCACCCTGTGTGCTTTGGCACAATGGCCAGATTGCTCATTTGGGGCCACACCGGAGGCAGGCTCCCCGCTGTGTGCACTACAGCTCTGTTCTAGATGCTCACGTGGCTTATTATCTCCATTTCCTTAGGTTTTTCCTTAAATTGTTATCTGTTCAGTGAAACCTTCATCGATACCTTATCTGACGACTTGCATTAAAACTGATGAATTCCCCCTTTCCAGGTACTCCCTCATCTTCTTTCCATACTTCGGTTTTCTCTATTGCATTTACTACTCTCTAACAAGCATTTTACTTGTTTCTCCTTTCTTCTGTACCACCATTCTAGAATGGAAGCTCCAAGAGAGCTTTTGATTGGTTTTATTCTCTGGTGCCTCTCACCACCCAGAATGATGAATGCTTGATTCACAGTAGGCGCTCCCTAAGTGAATGAACGAACTCTCAGGCTACCTAAAGCCTGATTTTTCTTTCAGTTTCAAGTTACTAGTACTCTTGAGTTGTTAAATTTACTCAGAAGTAAATACTATGTACTTTATTATAGAATGAAACTTTGCTACCTATTACCCAAAGTAAAATCTACTCTGAAGATTCCTACCGATAAGCACCTACTTCAGCAACTAGAAATGTGTGTAAGAAAACTCCTATGTCAAGAAAAAGATAAAGATGTTTTGGCTATTGTAAAAAAAGTGAGTATCACTCTTGTCACAATGCTGCATTTCTTACATTTAGGTAGTGTTAATCATAACTTCACTATTTTAGCTTGACAGAAGAGCTGTACTTTAAAATATTCGTACCCTTGCTGGAGCGGTAAGAAAAAATGATTTGGTTTATGTGTGCTATAGCAGGACACAACTGGAAAGATCTAATGGGCACTTATTTATTTTTTTTCCAGGGGTAAGATAGAATTTATAGAAAGGAATACAGAAGGAGTAAAAAGCACCAGAGCTCCTGGCAAAGGGGAAGACCCAAGTCGGAAGTCTTCCGGCCCTTAGTTATTAAAGTTTTATTACTAGTAATATAAACTCCATGACAGAGAGTTGGCACACGTTGGGTTTTCCGTGAATGCTGTTCAATAATAATCACTTCTTCATTCACCAGACTGTATTTGTAAGTGATTATAGTCCAGTAAAACTTTGTTGGTGAAACTGGGAAAGTCACGTTTTATAGAAATTTAGCCCCGGAAGGGCCCTCAGACTTAATTCAGAGGTCTACTTGAGATCCCTTGAGTAAGAGGCAGAGCTACAACTACAATAGAGTGTGTTCCTTTTTAAGTAATGTTACATTATTGTATTTTATGGTTTGTTTTGTTTCAGCATGAGATCATATTATATTGATTGTGTGGCATATTGGAACACTAAAACAGTAAAAAATTGGATTAGTGAACCAATCCTTCAAATACATTATAGTGTTAAAGAACTCATTTTGCCAAACATGTAATATTTGAGCATTTATATGTCGTGAGAGAAATTAATTTGTTAATGTCATAAATTAGCACTGATGGCAAGAAAAAATAGAATATTTTTATTTTTTCTCCTTTTTTCTAAAAATAATGAACAGATATCACATCATTTTATTTTTAATTTTTATTTTTTTATGAGGAACTTTTCAATAAAGTGATTTAGTGACTTTGTATTAATTAGTATAATTTTATTTTTACTGAAATGTGAATTCCTCTTTGATGACCTGAAATAATCAGAAATATCCACAGTTGGACATGCAACTAAATATAAACAGACATACACACACACACGTTCCCTGGTTCTGTCCTTATTATTTAATATTAAAGTATAGAAGTATAGGCAAAATAATAAACATGAGGGACTGGTTTTCTTTTCTCTTTTTTTTTTTTTTTTGAGACAGAGTGTCACTTTGTCACCCTCGATAGAGTGCTATGGCATCACAGCTCATAGCAACCTCCAACTATTGGGCTCAAGCGATTCTCTTGCCTCAGCCTCCCAAGTAGCTGGGACTACAGGCTCCCACCACAATGCCCGCCTATTTTTTGTTGCTGTTGTCATTGTTGTTTCGCAGGCCTGGGTTAGATTCGAATCCTCCTGCCTTGGTGTGTGTGGCCAGTCCCCTAAGCACTAATTTATGGGAGCCGAGCCCATGAGAGAGTAGTTTTCCCAAAGAATTTATTAATTTAATAAATGATATTATATAAGTTAATCTTATATAGGTACAAGCTAATGTCGTATGTGCATGACAGTGATATCATTAAATTAATTATTAATCTACAGTGGATTATTCTGGAGTATAGCTCTTAAATTTAAGTGTTTCACATAGTGAAGTCAATCTGTCCCATGAAAATTTAGTAGCATAGTGACTTATTAGTATGGAACCCTTTGAGGAAGCTACACAAGGCTTTGGGATAAGAATGGAATAATTTACTATAATTGGTTTTTATAATTTAGAAAGTAACTTTAACGAGGGGGTATTTCATAGCATAAATTGTAAAGTTTTCATAGATTTCAACATAAAATAAAGTTTTAAAAAAATTTTATGTGTGTAGTGAATAGCTTTGGTCATATGAATGTAGATATATGCTTTATTTTGGCCATTAGAGTTCTTCTTGTAGAATAAGTGTTGGAACTACTGTCCTCTATCAGAGACAGAATCCTGGATTAGATTAATGATTGTTTGATTGGAATAATTTGTTTCAAACCAGTATATTATGAGAGACAAATAGCAAATTGAGAGAATACTTTTAGAGGAAAATGTTTTCTATTGCTTAAGAATGTCATAGTGATAAAAAAAATTTCTATGGAAGAGAGCTAAGGAGTTTAAGACAAATGATAGCTTATTTCATATAGATGTACGTGAAAGACTTTCTAAACATGTAAAAATTGGCTCAGCGCCTGTGGCTCAAGCGGCTAAGGCGCCAGCCACCTTGAGCTTGTGGGTTCGGATCCAGCCCGAGCCCACCAAAACAACAATGATGGCTGCAACCAAAAAATAGCCGGGTGTTGTGGCAGGCACCTGTAGTCCCAGCTACTTAGGGGGCGGAGGCAGGAGACTCACTTGAGCCCAGGAGTTGGAGGTTGCTGTGAGCAGTGATACCACAGCACTCTACCCAGGGGGGACAGCTTGAGGCTCTGTCTCAAAAAAAAAAAAAAATGAGAAAGCTATATTACTGAAAATTCAGAAAAGATTGACATTGGGAGTTATTAGAAATTAAATTGCATGTGGTTAGTATTTAAAATATGCCTCTAGCCTTGCTCTTCTTAAGGTTAAAACCTTTTAAAAGGTAAAATGGATCCTGGCGGTGCTGTACAGAGGTTGTTATAAATACCATGTAAAATAAGGGAATTTGCAAATGTCACCTCCTGGAACTACCCTCTGAAAAAACCTCTGAGAAATGATTGTTTGGTTTAATTTAATTGCTGCTGAATAATTTTTACAACTTTCTTACAGACTGTATTAGAGTTGGACAGAATGGAAATGTCTATGGACGCAGTAAGTGTATTCTTTTTTCTTTATATTGAAAGGAATATTTAAAAATTGCCAGAAACTTATCATTAATGTTTCACAATTTCATTTTAAACAGTTTCAGAAAAAGTTTTATGAAAAAGATTTGTTAGATCAAGAGAAAGAAAGAGAAGAACTACTTCTTTTAGAAATGGTATGTTGTTTTCACTCACGCACACGTACTCTCTTTTCCAGCCAATGTTAACTGTTTTGTAATTAAACTTAAAAAATAATTTATTTCAATTTCACACTACTCTTTTTTCCTTAAAAAAAAAAAAAGATTTCCCCCCCCTTTACCTAAAAGAAGAGTCCTAATTTTCTGAAATCTCTTCTTCTATCAAATGGAAGGAAAACTATTATATATGTGAGAGGCTTTGGAAAAAAGAAAACAACTTTATAGAAGAGCAATTGACAAACAACTGCATATATTTAAAGTGCACAATTTGATGAGTTTTGACATGTTCATGAAACCATCGCCACAATCAGAGTTTAAAACATTTCCATCCCTCCAAGTTTCTACATGCCCCATTGTAACCCCCATCTTCTTCTGCTACAGTCCCCATCCACCTCTGATCTAGTTTCTGTCACTATAGATTAGTTTGCATTTTCTATAATTATTTAAATGTAACTGTGCATTATATACTTTTATTGATCATGCCTCTTTCCATTATTGTAATTATTTGCGATTCATCCATAAGGTTGCATGTATCAATAGGTCATTCCTTTTTATTTCTGAGTAGTAGTCCTTATTATGGATATATCACAATTTATTAATCCATTCACCTCCTAGTGGGCATTTGGGTTACTTCTAGTTTGGGGATATTGCGAATAAAGTTGCTATGACATTAGGGAAGTTAGCCTTCAAGAATATTAGTCTTAGGGTAGACATAGTTTTGTTTCTCTTGGGTAAATACCTAAGAATAGACTGGCTGGATTAATATGGTATGCTTAACTTAAAAACAAACAACGTGTTTTCCAAAGTGGTTCTAGCCTTTTTCATGCCCGTTGGCTACAGTGGAGAACTTTAGTGATCCCATATCATCCGTAATGCTTGATATGGTTAATGGTTTTAATTCCTGCCTTACAGTGGGTATGTAATTGTATCTCATGGTTTTTTAAATTGCATGTCCCTGATGCCTACTGAATCTATAAATGGATATCACTCTTCCTATTTGGGAAATTTAGGCCATTTTTTATTTAAATAGACATTCTGCTCCAATTCTCCCTTCTCTTATTTTTGGTTCTCCAGCTACACATATGTAAATCTTTTATCACAGTTCCATAGGTCCATGAGGCTTTGTCCTTTTTAATTTTTTTTTTTAAATTCTGTGCTGAATAACTGGTTGGTCTATCATCATTGTCACCAACTTCTTTGTCATTTCCATAGAGCTGCTGAGCCTGTCCAGTGAATTTTTAAAATTTCCAATATTATATATTTCACTTCTAAAATTTCTTTTTGGTTATTTTTTATCTTTCCTATTTGTCTGCTGAAAATTTATGTGCTATGAGATTAAAAACTTCAGTGGAAATCCTCTGAAAAGGAAAGTGCATTACTTTGGTAGTCTTCCAAGATGGAGGTCAAGTTCAGGATTGGCATTTGTAGAAGCCGTAGAGAATAAGCAGGCTCTCAAAAAATTTCAGTATGAAATAACCTAAGCTCAAGACAAAATCCAACAATAGAAAAAGACCCACAGGTGATCCTGATATTGGAGTTAAGCAGACAAGGGCTCCACGATAACTATGATTAATATGATCAAGATAATACAGGGAAAGATGGAGAAAATGGACAATTCTGTTAAGCCCACCTTATAATATTTGTCAGTTTGTATGTGTGTTGTGCTTTAGAATTTCCATTTGACTCTTTTATGTGGCCCAGGTCAGTGTGGAAATGATCAGTTTTCTCCATCCTTTTCTTTATTTTACATGTGTACTTGAAAAGAATGTTTGTTTTCCACTTGTTGAACGTGGTGCTGTTCTATACGTGTCAGTTGTGCCACACTTGTTCAGAAGATGCTGTGTTCATTGATTCTCTTGCCTGTTTGTTCATTTGGGATAAGTTTTGGTAATGTTTTGTTTCTTGATATCAGAGCTGGTTATTACAGGTATATTTACTCTGGGAAAATTCAGTGAGCTGTAAACTTACAAATTGTGTACTTTTTCTATGTATAGTGTACTTAAGTAAAGCATTTGAAAATATAAATATCTAAGAAACTGTTTCTTTTTTTTTTAAAGAAAAATGTCAAGTTTTGCTATTTAGCAGTCAGAAATTGAAATGACCAATAGTAAGAGATATTTTGCTAATGAGAATTGGTAAATACTTTCTAGAAAATAAAGGCTTACCATAACAATGATACTAGACTCATTGGGTTATAGCTCAATAAACCCCCAATAGCACAATTCTGTAGAGGTTAAAAGAGCCAAATCTAAACGAACCCTGAATTCTTTAGACACTATTATGGGAAACAGTACTTCTTTTAGACATCTTTATGAACCTTTATGTGTATCTCTAAAGCTTAATTTCTCAGAACTATTTCCCCAATCTATTTAGTTGTAACTTTAATTCTAAGATACTGTTTTAATAATAGGAACAATTAGAAAAGGAAAAGCAGCAGAATGATGGAAGGTCCACGACTGACAAAATGTTTGATAAGAAACGTAAGTAGTTCTTCTGTGTCTTCATCGTTCAGTTACATAATCATGTTGCAACCTGGTATTCTGAAAGACCATGCTGACTTTTTAATTTGACATGGAAAATTGCTTTACTTTCTTTCATTTTTCAAAATTTGTTTTTGAAAATCAGCTGCTTAATGTGGTGCAGATGTTAGACATGCATGAATATAAGATAGGAATTAGCATGGAGGTTCAGATCCTTTAAAAAAGGAAAGCTTAAAGTTTGATTACAGCGATGGGACTGTCAAATTGATTACTGAATAACAAAGATTGAAATATATAAATTTCCAGCTCTTCCTCTGAGAACATGCAAAGGGAGGGTGGCTGGCCAAGCAAAGGGAGGTGCCAAAGGCCTCCCTGCCCCATCCCCCCTCACCCCTGCCCATCAGTCCCACCCCCCTGTGTCTCCAGTGAGACACAATCCCCCCAGCGATATATGCATTCGTTGTATAAAAATGAAGTTTGAATGATTAATATAAAATATTTTAATACAAAAAAGAAATATATAAATTTATAAAGTAAGAATATTTAGGAAGAGAGCTGCTTAGCTCAGGATAGTGATTCTTATTCTCTAGTTTATATATTTATGGAGATTAATTAAAGAACTCAGAGGAAATTATAGAACTTAAAACAGAGTTGTTTTTTAGGTAGAGACACTAAGACACCAACACAAAGTCTGCCCAAGAACATCTCCATTTCTGTTCCTGGACCCTCCTCTGCCACCCCATCGACAAGTAAGAGAAAAGTTCTTTTTATGTTCTTTTATACATCTTTTGCTTTTCAAAAATTAATTACAGGCAAAGTCCCTCTATAAGATGAGATTTATTATTCTAAAACAGCTTTGGCCTTCTATCATTAGTTGTTTTGGTGATTCTTAATGGGCAGTAGGGGTGAGAAATACTCCAAAATCAGGTCAAACTAGAGAAAGAATGCTAGACCCATCTGTATTTTACTGAAAATGTTGGTAGCTTGGGAGGGAATGTGAATTGGGGCAACTAAGGATGAACTGAATGCATTTTCCTTTTTTCCTGCTTATTACTCTAGGCAAAGAAATCAAGAAATCCAAATTGATTCGGAGCCAGTCTTTTAATAATCAAGCTTTTCATGCAAAATATGGCAACTTAGACAAGTGTGCCGGGTATGATCTATCAGCTGTTCACTTTTTCATATAATTTTTGGTTTCATAGTCATACATCTTTATGTATGTGAAATAGTTACATTATTATAACAATTAGGATTAATTTTGAGTTTTTATAGGCCAATAACTTGTCAGTTTTATTCTGTAAGTATTGTTAAAAATAATTGAAGTCTCCTAATTTATACAAAAATAGGTTTCCCGGCATTTAAGGAAGAACACTGCCCTGACAATATTTATAGCATCATGGAATCCATATATCATTTTATGAGGAAGGTGGTGTCGTATCACATATGCTACGTAACTTTTAAATGGGTATGAGTATGCCCCATTTGCTATTAATATTGTTTATATCTTTAAAAAGCTACTGGAATGTTTGTATGATAAACCAATCACAGCAGAGTTCTCCTGACAATAGATGAATATCTGCTTTTCCCTTTAGCCTAGAAGAAAGAACTATAAAAGGTTAAGATCAGGAGAGAAGCATATAAATTAAATCACCACAATTATAACAGCCCAAGTGTTAGATGACTGAGATTGTTCTTGTATTTTAAACTAAATCATGTTCTTTTCTAGTAAAAGTTCTACAACAGGATATACACCTACTGTCTCAGGGATAGGAAAGACATCTATACTTTCACTAACTGGTAAGTGGCAATCTAAGTGCTGCTTAGCTTAGGACATTGCTAAACATTGCTAAATTTAATAAAATATGCTTTCTTTAACTGACCTATTATTTATTTCTAGATATAGCATTTTTCCTAAAATTACATCTTTATTTGATCCCTAAGAAATTGAATTTTTCCCTAGCAATTGAGAAATACTTGACTATGCTATCATGGTTTTTCTGTGTCAAAACCCAGGCTTTAATGTTTTTAATAGAAAAAAGGAAAAAGAATAGGATATATTTCACCATAGTCTGAGGACCTGCTGAGACATAGACTTAAGTTCTTGTAGTAATTTTTAAGGATATTAAAAAGACAGGACTCTACCGCAAATCATCTACAGCTAAACACTTATAGTATTATGTGTTTGAAAATTTGTATTGGGGTCAAAACTTCTGTGAAGGGCCAGATAGTACATATTTTAGGCCAGATTGGTCTTTGTCACAGTTACATCACTCTGCTGTGGTAGAGTAAAAACACCCAGAAATAGCACTGTGTTCTAATTAAACTTTTATTTATTTACAAAGACAGACAGTGGACAAGATTTAGCCTATAAGCTATGATTTTCTGACTCTTAATTCATAAAATAGAATATACAATATTCTCCCTATATACGTATTATCCATATATATTTTATATACTATATTGCGTAAAATTGTTAGTGGCTAAATGTGTATTTTTAACTTTTTACCTTAGAAATATTGGTTGAAAATTGTAATGCTGATCTATGGTAATTTTTTTAGTGTAAATAGTGAATCTGCTGAAAGAGCTGAAAGTTTTAAGAGCTTAGGTATGGTTCCTTTTTAGATTACATTTTGAGTAATCTGTCTTTTCTTATTATTATGTTTATTAACTTCTCATGAAGAATATATGTATTCATTGGTTATTCTGTAAAAAGTATTTTCATTGGCCAGAACAGAACATTTTCCTAACATTAAAGTATTGACATTCATATACAGTGATATAAAGTGATTCTTCAAGGTAGACTATGAGTGTCATAAGAAATGATTTGACTTGGGCGGTGCCTGTGGCTCAGTGAGTAGGGTGCTGGCCCCATATACTGAGGGTGGTGGGTTTGAACCTGGTCCCGGCCAAACTGCAACCAAAAAATAGCTGGGCATTGTGGTGGACACCTGTAGTCCCAGCTGCTTGGGAGATTGAGGCATGAGAATTGCCTAAGCCCAAGAGCTGGAGGTTGCTATGAGCTGTGACAGCACGGCACTCTACCAAGGGCGACAAAATGAGACTCTGTCTCTTAAAAAAATAAAAAATGACTTGAGGCTGGGCATGGTGGCTCATATCTTGCACTATGCAAGCAAAGTGCAAGAGGATTTTGCAAAGGCAGGAGGATTATTTGTGGGCAGGATTTTAAGACCAGCCTGAGCAACATAGCAAGACCCCATATTTATAATAAATAAATAAATAAAAAGTTAGCCAGGCATGCTGGCATATGCCTATAAGTCCCAGTTATTTGAGAGACTGAGGAAGGAGAATTGCTTGAGCCCCAGGAGTTTGAGGTTACAGTGAGCTATGATAATACCAATGTATTTTAGCCTGGGCAACAAAGTGAGACACAGTCTCAAAAAAGAAAAAAGAGAGAAAGAAAGAATTTAATAACAACAGAAAGTTGTTGAACTAAAATTGTCACCATATTTTGAATTTAGGTCTATAAAAATAAAACTTTTTTTTTTTTTTTGAGACCGAGTCTTACTATGTCATCCTCAGTAGAGTGCTGTGGTGTCACAGCTCACAGCAACCTCAAACTCTTGGGCTTAAGAGATTCTCTTCCTCAGCCTCCCAAGTAGCTGGGACTACAGGAGCCTGTCACAATGCCTGGCTATTTTTTGGTTGTAGTTGTCATTGTTGTTTTGCAGGCCCGGTCTGGGTTTGAACCCGCCAGCTCCAGTGTATGTGGCTGGCACCCTAGCCTCTGAGCTATAGGTGCTGAGCAAAACAATAAAATTTTTGATTATTTTTTATCTTAGCAAGCAGTCAATCCTTTAGGAGAGGTACTAAAGAGCATTCAAAGTTTAAAAACTTTATTTACAATGTAGAATGGCTTTAAAAATTATAAATACATATGAAAAGCCAATTTGAATTACCCAAGTTGGTGTTAATAGTGCAAATAATTATAGATGCCCATAAGTGCTTCTTCAAACTTAGGTGGAACCCACATATCTTTTTGGTGGTTTCTTCATCCAGCTATAAATGAGCACATTTATTCATGAACTTGTAACAGTTTTTGTCAAGAAATTTCTTTGTCTAAATCATTAGGATATTGATTCAGGTCTGGGCATGATGGCTCACACCTGTAATTCCAGGACTTTGGGAGGCTGAGGTAGGAGGATCATTTAAGGCCAAGAAGATCAGCCTGGGCAACACAGTGAGACCCTATCTCTACAAAAAATAAAAAATATTGGCCAGGTGTAGTAGTGTGTGCCTGTAGTTCCAGCTACTCCAGCCTGGGTGACTGAATGAGATCCTCTCTGAGGAGAAAAAGAATATTGGTTCAGAACTGTTTTTCTTTTAAAGTTTTTTTATGTGCCTTAATTTCTTTAGTTTTTAGTTTGATCTCTAAGTCATCTTAAGAAGCAAGAAAGTGGATAAGATCTACAAATCCTAAAACTTTGCATCCAGATTCTTAAATAAAAGCATATATTTTATCAAGATAAATCTTTTATTAAAATATTTTAAAAATATCCTATTTTAATGGTTCAATATTATTTTTGGATGAGGGAGAACTATAGTTCAAACTATCTCCGAGGGTTCTTGGTTAGAAAAATGTGCTTATTATTTATCACTATGTATTACGTAATGAAATACAAACTGAAGAAAAAGTCACTATAATTATACATGTTATCTATGAAGAGAAATTGGAAGGAAAATATCTTTTAACAAATGTATTAGGTATTCACATAAAGAGATATCTTATTTAATTTGGGACTCAGAATGGGCTTAAAGATGATTATATCATTTGAGATGCACCTTACAGTAGTATGCTAGGATTTTGGCAGGCAGAGATTTTTATAGACTATCATTCCATGCAGAGTATAGGTCATCATCAGGGGAAGGAATTACAGTGTATCCATTGCTGGTGGGCATGAAAAGCAGTGGAACCCTTTTGGAAAACAGTTTAGCAAAGTTCATCAAAAGTTCTAGTTTTTATAACACAGTTTGACTAAAGATAATCCGTTTCTAGTGAATTGTCATGGAGCAATAAAACAAAATACATAAAAATATGATTAAATGTGTCACGTGTATCCTTTAGTCAATATGGTGAGAAAGGTACCTCTTTGTCCTTCTCCCGCAAACCCATAACCCTACTCTATTCTTAAGAAAAGGAACAGGAACATTTTAATAGAGGGATATGCTATAAAATATTTGACCAATACCTCTCAAAATTGTTAGGGCCATTGAAAAAAAGAAAAAGGAGAAACTGTCACAGCCAAGGAATGCTTAGGGGGACCTGACAAATAAATGTAATATGATATCCTGGATGCAGTGCTGAAATAGAAAAACAAAAGCTAGATAAAATACAAACTATTATAGATTTTAGATGATATATCAGTATTTTCTCATTATATGTAACAGGTACACTCGTATAGCACACTAATGTGAGGTGTTAGTAATAGAGGAAAGTAGATGAGTGGTTGTAATAAATAAATGGAGAGATAGAGTGTACTTATGGATTGGAAAACTTAATGTTGTTATGATGTCAGTTCTTTCTAAATTGATCAAGCGATGTAATCCTAATTAAAATTCTAGCTATCTCTTTGAAAAATGTATAAGCTGATTCTCAAATCTATATTGAAATGCAAAGGACCTAGTATAAGCTTTTTCAAAGCAGTTTTGAAAAGAAAAAGTAGAACTTAACTACTTTATTTCAGTACTTACTGCAAAATTTCAGTAATCAAGGCAATGTGGCCTATGTTGTCATGTATAGTTGGTTGATTTTCAACAAAGACTCCAGGAAAAATCAATGGTGATAGGACAGTGTTTTCAAAAGTCATGCTGGCTGAACCAGTATCTTCAAAGACATAATCTCTCGCACAAGAAGAAATACACAATCTGAATAATCCTGTATCTATTAAAGATGATGAATAAAAATTAATAACCTTCCAAAACAGAAAGCATCCGGCCAAGATGGGATCACTAATGAATTCTGTCTTATATTTTAAGGAAGAAATTATATCAGTTATCTAATCTCTTTCATAAGCAAGAAGTGGCAGGAATACAACATCATTCATTTTAGAATGAGTCAAGCATTACCCTACTACCCAAACCAACACAGACATTTCAAGGAAGGAAAACTACAGGCAACATCTCTCATGAACACAGATGCAAAAATCCTCAACAAAATATTAGAAAATTGAATCTAACAACGTATAAAAAGAATTATAACCATAACCAAGTAGAATTTATCATAGGTAAATAAGACTGGTTCAACATTTGAAAAATAGTAAATGTAATCCATCACACCATGAGGCTAACGAAGAAAAATCACATGATCATATTAATAGACCTATAAAAGGATTTGACAAAAATCCTATACCTCTTCATTATAAAAACCTGCAGTGCATTAGGAATAGAGAAACATCCTCAACTTGATAAGGAGTATCTACAAAAAAGAAACTAGAAGCTTTTCCACTAAGATCAGGAACAAGGCAAAGATGTCCCTTTCTCACTACTCCTTTTCAACATTGTACTGGAAACCTTAGAAAAGGAAATAAAAGATACACTGATTTGGAAGGAAGCAATAAAACTGTCTTTTTAAATAGATGATGTGATGATTATGTAGAAAATCCAAAATAATTGGGGAATTTCTGGAACCAGTAAGTGATTATTGCTTATCTATAGGATAGATTTTATCCTGCAGTATATCCTGCAGGACTGTTATTATACTGTCAATTGCTTTCTTATATTCTAGCAATGAACAAGTGGAATGTGAAATTAAAAACATAATACCACTCACATAGGCACCCAGAAAAATGAAGTACTTAGGCCTAAATCTAAAAAAATCTGCCTAAGATCTATATGAGGAAAACTACAAAACTCTGAAGGAAAAAATTCAAGAACTAAATGTATAGGTAGATATTCTATGTTAATGGTTAGGGAGACTCAGTACTGTGAAGATATCATTTCTTCCCAACTTCCTGTAGGTTTAATGTAATCCCAATCAAAATCCTAGCCAGTTATTTTGTAAATATCAATAAACTGATTCCAAAGTTTATATGGATAGCAAAAAGACCCAGAAAAGCCACCACAATACAAAAGAATAAAGTTGGAAGATTGATACTAACTGACTTTAAAATGTACTATAAACCTATAGTAATTAAGGCAGTATGGTAACAGCAAAAGAATAGTCAGAAAGATGGATGGAACAGAATAGGAAGGCTAGAAACAGAACCATATAAGTATAGTCAATTGATCTTTGACAAAGGAACAAAACAAAACAATAGAGAAAAGGTAGTTTTTCAACAAATGGTACTGGAACAATAACAATTGAACACTCACATGCAAAAAATAGTAATAAGATGCAGACTTTACACTCTTCACAGAAATTAATTCAAAAAATCACTCACAGGTCTAAATGTAAAATGAAAAACTATAAAACTAGAAGATAACAAAGGAGAAAATCTAGATGACCTTGGGTCTGGCAATGACTTTTTAGATATAACATCAAAGGCACAATCCATGAAAGGACTAATAAGCTACACTTTCTTAAAATTAAAACTACTCTGTGAAAGACTGTCAAAAGAATGATAAAGTGAGCCACACACTAGAAGAGAATATTTGCAAAAGACATATTTGATAAAGGACTGTTATCTAAAATATAAAAAAAAGTTTGCCTTGCACTTTCTTCTACAACTCTTGAAGAAATTGGCCTGGCCAAGTATTTTATGAGGAGGACCCCACCTGGGCAATTGAAGCAACATCACTACTGGGACCTGATCAAACTAAAATACTTCGGCACAGCCAAGAACACAGTAAGTAAAGCAAGCAGACAGCCCTCAGAATGGGAGAAGA